TCTCTCTCTCTCTCTCGCTCTCTCGCTCTCTCTCTCCTTGGCAGCACTTTACCAAGCGCCGCCTGGGAGGCCAATCCGACCCGAAGCAGGTTGTTCCGAAAAGCCGACACGGCTCGTCGCACCTTGCAAGCTCGACTTGGGGCCCAGCCAAAGGCGGCTCTCCTCCGCACGGCTCCCCTCGCCGCCAACCAGCCGAGGTGGTGCCGGGAGCCGTGCCCCCCTGAAGGGTCAGTTCCGACAACTGACCTCCTAATTGGCACAGCAGTGAGCCAATTGCCAAACATGGCACCTTCCTGATTGGCCGATTTGTCCGAGTCGCTGCTCCAATGGGAAACAGGGGAGGAAGACTGCAGAGAGAGCGTGGGTATACAGCTGGGCTAGAAAAAGCGTCACTGGGGAAAGGTGGATCCTTTGTCGAGAAAGCCAAATAGTTCTAAGGGAAGTGTGCAGGCGTTGTTACCCCTGGGAACGCTCATTCTCCACTCAGGTCGAATAATATTGGCACCTTTTCGAATGCCATTCAATTTTGTTTGTTTCCGTACTACTGGCTAAAACCAGAGGACGCTGCCCGACGCTGCCTAAATTTAATGTCCCCTTTGACAGTGACTTTTTTTTTTTGAAGACCGAAGGCCCGTCTTCGATTCTGCTATTTGCCTTTACTCGGGTGCTAAAGTGTAGCAGTGTGCTCTTGATACATACACCAGCAAATATTTAAGACGCTTTGCTAAATTTCTCGCTCAAGTTTATTGTTGACTCTGCATTAGTAACAGCTCCAGCTGCAATATATTCCCTCCGTGTGGGACGTCCCGACTGAAAACAAACGTGGGGGCGCGTTCGTGTGGTCCGCTCGCCGCTCCGCCAGTCGCCTTAGCTGGCCATGCATTCACAACTTTATCCATTAAAATGAAATGTTCTGTCATTTTGGGGGCGGAGCACGTAAAAGCAGCGGCCTTGAATCAGAGTTGGGGGCGGCGGGCCGTCGCTGCTCAAATCCCCGCGACTGACTACTGTCTTGCGGATTTGTTTTTGTCTTCGCTCGTTCCAGCTCATCCCAACACAGCGACATGGCCCGAGTTTGATATCCTAAACAACTCAAGGGGGAGGGAAGGTCAGTGAATGGGCCATCGTTGTTGTTGCTGTTGTTGTTGTGTTCCCCACAACTTGGACACTGCATAATTCTGTGCGGGGGCGGGACGACTCAATATTTTTCGCAGGCTGAGTCTACGAGAGAAAGGCGCCGACGTCACGCGTACTGCCTGCTCAGCCGAAGTGTTTCCAGCGTGTCAGATCATTGCTGGCCATGACTGCGCAGGAGAGCCCGAGCTTGTGTCAGCGCTTCATTACGGTTATCTCGGGGCCGCGACAGCGGGATCAAGGCGGGAGAGGCAAGGGATTAGCCTGAGGTAAGCCTCAGGCAGGCAGGGCCTCGGACGTGAAACATTTTAAGTGCTGGAATTTCTTGTCCAGCCGAAACATGGATACGTAGACGAAAACAAGGAGAGGAAGAATTGTTACGTTGTCCTGCCCACACAGTGGAGGTCGGGCTTCCTGCACTTAAATCGACAGGGCGCCAGTGCCACTGCCCTGGACTGGACAAAACTTGCCAACAACTTTCTGTTACCCCTTTTTTCGCCTCTTTCTATATGAGATAGTTCGTGTACTACGTATAGTTTGACACTGAAGTAGCGGGGCATATATATACTGTGCAGAAAACGTACTCGACTTTACTTCTCATGAAACCTTGCGGAATCACAGGACTCACCGGAGCCCCGTTGACGGTCCACGTAACGTTGGCTGGCGGGAGAGAGGACGGCACGGAGCAGTTCGCGCGCAGTCGGTCCGACGGCGAGTACCTCAGCTTGTCGACTTGCAGCGCAGGGCTGACCACTGGGGGTTCTGAAACATAACATGCACAAAGCGTGAGAGAACACATCCACACCAGCAAAAAGCCAAAGATGATGACAAAATCAGAACACAACTCAATTAGTACTTTATTCTCCAGTTCACTTTTTTATCATAAGTCGTGAGCGCCTTTACGATGGTCGTCCACTGATGACGGGCGTTACTCATCTCAGCCCTTACTGCAGCCCGCCCTCTCCATGTGGGCGCCATAAAGGAGAGAGAGGGTCCCCCGGGCCGCAATGCACTGCCCAGTGCAGCTCAATAAAACAAACTCGCCCCCACGGCCGGCCGGAGCGCATAAAAACGACAGCCCACAGCACCCAGCGGCCGCTCCAGGTATACGGTTGTTTCTTCCAAGCGGAGGCCGGATAAGTTGGGCGATTCGAGGAGCGAACGCGGTGGCTGCGTCCGGTTAGGGGAGGGGGAGAGGTTGTGGAAACCCGCGCTGGTTCACACGCCCCCTAAACATGCACTGGGATGGCCGGGCGGCGCGGCAGGCAGGAGAACGAGTTAAATAGCGCGAGAACCCTCCTCAGAGCGCTCGGCCGCACTAAATCAAGTCAAACTGCATCCATCAGGCTGTCTCAGCGCGCGGAAGGCGGCTCTTGCTACGGGTCGCCGCCGACCTCCGTCCAGGTCGTTGAGTCAAACGGAGCCCCGGCAGCCGCCGCAGCAGGACGCCGCCGCCCTCCAAGAGTGTCAGACACTCTCATGAATCCCATCCTTCCAGCCCATCAGGCCGGACCTGCGGGCGCCAGGGCGGCCTAATCTCGGCAGAGGGCGCCTCGCACCCACAGGCCCTGCGGCCCGCCCCACCCACAGTCTCCTCCCTCCCTCTCTCTCTCTCTCTCTCTCTCTCTCTCTCTCTCTCTCTCTCTCTCTCGCTCCCCCCACCACGCGCGCGCAATTTTATGTAGATGGAAACAGGAGCGCGCGGAATGGTATACGACCACATTCCCACTTTATGCAAGTCCCGCTCTGTCCTGCCGCGGCAGTCCTGCAGGACCCGGCCCGGCACCCAGCCCAGCGCCAGCTCCCCCACCCCCTGCCGGCAGTGCGAGCGAGGCGTGGCGCGGTGCGCAAGGATTTTATAGGGTGGCTCAGCCACACACACACACACACACACACGGCCGTGTTTGGGGAATAATATTCATGAGATTTGGCTGGATTATGGCGGCGGCGAGGTGGCGCCTTGCAGGTTATAATATACGAAGGTGGACGGCGGCGGCGCCGACGCTCCACCTGGGGTCACCACCGCTCCCAACTAAGATGTCCCCCCTCCGCAACCCTTCTTTCCCCCCTTCCCAGCCCCCCTTTTTCCTTTCTGATGACACCAATATCGGCAGCGACTGCTCCGCACTACCCCCACCGCCTGCGCAGGCGCAATATTTTAAAAAACTTGGCGCGAATATTGAAATCGATCTAGGCGATCACCCAGCACGGCGGCAGGACGAGCCCGGAGGCGCAAGGTGCTTGGCACTTGAGCCACGAGCGGATGAACCCCTCCCTCCCCTCCATCTCCTAGCCCTCTGTGTTCTCTCTCTCTCTCTCGTTCAGTTTGGAGACCGCAGAGATTGGTTCCGACCATAGAATTTGTCGCCCTAGCTCCCCCCCACCCCCGCTTGGTGGTTCCCCAAGACGACATCCCTCTCGATATTGTGCCTTCCGCAGGACCACCAGCAGCACGACTGCCCTCCCCCACCTCCCTCCCTTTCTACGCGGCCAAATTGTTGCAAATGACAAAAGTTTCAACTCGCGTCATCTATTTAGAATATGACAGCAACCTATTAGGCCGCGGCGCGGTTGGTTAGAGGGAGGGGAGGGAATTAACCGCACCGCGTGATAAGACGCACCCGGGCCAATTGTTTATCTCGACACTCGAGAAGTTTGGTTGTTACGTGATGTGCTCACAACCAATCTCTGTTCTGCGATGCAGTTGACTTTTTATTTCTATTTCATTATTTCCGAGTTTAATTATAACAAATTTGCATGGTTTGCTTGGTTCTGGATCCCTTCACACTTGAAATTCAAAGGAATAATTTTAAAATTTAAACTGGAACGTTTCTATGTGCATCTAGACCGAAAAAAAATCAGTTTCGTAAACTGGACAAAAAAAGTTTTGCCGTGAAGCGGAAGAAGGTGGTAAGTCTACTTTGCACCATGACCTTTCAATCGTGTGTCACTGCCATTTGTTGTACAGGAAGTTCCTGAAGTCATCCTGAGAAGTTAGCTTGTACTGAAAACTAGCTTCCCAACGTCATTTTGGGAACTTCCGACGTATCCGAAGGCAGTCGTGACAGACGATTAAAAAGTCATGGTGCTATGCTAAGTAGACTTTACCCCCTTCTTCCGCTTCACGGCAGAGTTAAGTTACACTGTTTGTCCAGTTTTAGGGACACATTTACACAACGTTCCTATTTAAGGGCACTATTGGCCTTTCACATTTATAGTCTACGATTTGTGTAGTATGTTTCGTCTACAGAACAAATTGATGAATTATTTAATAAAATGACAATTAAATTCCACTGTCATTTTTGAGTGAGGCAATAACTTTACATCTCCTCTGGCAGCCGGCGATGAACACGCGCTAGTCCCCGGAGCGATGCCAACCAGTATTACGCGGTGGGGCCTCGCCCGAAGTTACGAGGATATCCTCGACGATAATGCGCTGCTCAGTGCGCTGCGACGCTAAAAGCGCTGCTGGTGCACGATGGCGGCGCGGAGCGGCGTGGTGCTGCGCCCCGCCCCGCCCCGCCCCGCACGGTGTGGCCGCCCTTGAAAGCACTACCGCTCTTGCTCCACTTCGCTACCCAACAAACCCGCACAGGCTGAGATGTCCTCTGCATTATTGAGGGGCGCTGCGTTGCAGGTTGGTGGTAAAGGAGGGTCGTGGTTGGGATGGTGGGAGGGGGAGAGGGGGGGCGTCCTCCCCTCCCCGTACCGCTGCTGCACATGGAGGATGCGGCGCTGTGGCGGTAGAAAGAGGGGGAGAGGGGGGGGGGGGCGCACCACCCCCTCACTCTGTGCGCCCTAAACCCGGGCAGAGGGAGGTATCAACTAGTGCAATGACGAGTTGCGGAAATTACTTCCTACACTCCAACATCTGACTTGCGTCAACGTTCTTCTTAATTTTGCAAGTCCACGGGTGGGAACAAAAAAAGTTGGGTTTCTAAAGGGAGGGGGGCTTACCGGAATGTGGCGAGGACCAGGTGGGTCACAGCCTGGACCCTCTCCAGAGAGAGACCAGAGGGGGCTCAGGGGAGGAGTGGAAGGGGGGGG